ATGATATAAAGTTATTTTTCTTGAATAACATGTCGCTAAATTTTAACCCCAAATTTTAAAATGAAAGGGGTGTTCGTCTAGCAATTGTAAAACAAATTTAAATCTATTCATATCGAGTCCGAGATATTTTAAAGTATCAAATTCCTTACCATTTTTAAATCCAAATTTTAATATTTGAAGTACAATATTTTATTATTTAGAGTCCAAAATTCTGTTAGTCCAACTCTTTATTTTTTTAGTCCAATTCACTTAAATTCAATTAGGAAAATTCTTATAGTCTATATTCTTGGCCCACTTAATTCCTAGGATCTTGTGTCCTAAAATTTACTATTCATATAATTCTCATTCCCTCCCCTCCTCACACCTCACGCAGCCAACCAATTTGGTAAGAAAACCTTCCTCTCCCTCAATTTGGAAACTCACGATTGATGCTAGAACATCAATTTCTAGCATCAACAATTTGAAACCCATCCATCATCACCAATTGCAACAAGCTGCAATCGGGTTCACCTCCACCATCACCAACTGCACACACTCACAAGCTAAAATTCATACCACAGCCTAACCAAACAAGCCACAACATCCACTCCACCATCCCCAAACACCATAACCCTTCGCAGATGGTCACACTTCACCCCAAATCAGCCACTATTTCACCCCAAAATCGACACCAAACAATTACAAAATTAAGAAATAACAGCCGGGAAACCCAAGAACCCGAACCCTCCAAGCCTCGGTTGAAATTTGAACCACGCACCATACAAAAAAAGGGGGGGACTCCTTACCGCCTTCACCCACACACCGGCGCCACCACACGTTGATGGCGCTGGTCGGCCGAAATCGGAAGAAGGGGCAGAGAGCACCTTCCCGTCGCTCTCTCTTCTCTGGTTTCGAAATGTGAGAGAGTGTGAGAGTTATTTTGTATATTTTTTATTTTAGAAATTACCCCTTAAGCCCCCAAGTTTTAAAGTTTCTCATTTTAGCCCCAAATTTTCAATTGGAATATAGCAGTCCTTGGAGTTCCTGTTTTCCCTCAGTTAGTCCCATAATTTAGAAAATTTTAATTCGAGTCTTTAAACTTTTTAATTTCAGTTTCATAAATTTTCAATTAAGCCCATGAACTTTATTTATATCATTTTAAGTTATTTATTTCAGTTCCAAAGTTTCAGTAATTAGTAAATCAGTCACTAGAGTTCTTGTTTCCCACGATTAACCCACTGTTTTGAAAATATTATTTTCAGTCCTTA